AAAACATGATTGCTTCACACGTGAAGATATAAGCATCGTCTATTTTTTATTCTTTCATCAATAAAGAATAAATATGTAACCATCCTACGGAAGACTCAGAAGGACTCCCTTCAAAACAAAATGTCAGTTTTGAGGAAGTAAAATTTAAGAGACTGAGGTGCTCCCATTTTCATCCTGGGATGAAAGGCATGTTTCCTTGTACACTTCAGTTTCTTATTAGTCTACAAACTGGTAGAAAACCAGATCCTAGTCTGCTCCAGGGAGTGCCAGGTTCTGCCCAATCTATCACTGACCCGGCTTTCTGTTTTCAGGTAAACAGATCGATGAACAGTTGCATCCCTGAGCTCTTCAGAATTTCTCTGGCTTTATACATACTTCTGTGGACAATATGAGCTCAGCAGAGAGAGAAAAAGTTATCCCCGAATCAGTTTTAAGGCCACTGGGATTCTCCTTCCCATGCAGAACGCAGCAATGCTCTCTTTTCTTTCTGTATCTCCTGATTTTGAAGAAAAGGGCACTCTCCGTTGCTGTTATTCCAAACCATATACATGCCGACGAGACTGCCAGTACTAAGACAGCTGCTAAATGCTAAGCTGAAGACATAAATTTAAGTCTCTCCCCCTTCACCAGGGCTGGTTTTAATGAAACTCAAGGAAACAGAATTGTCTTTGAGGTTTCTGCTCTTCTATCAGATTTAATCAAAACTGATCACCACATTCAAAAGTTATTAGAAAGTGACAGATAGACAAATGAACATAGAGGTAGACTGCAAAACTCTGTAAGCCTTGTTTTCATAGAGCAATAGGAAAACTGGAATAATCTGAATGAATTTTTTAAATAAAACATATATAAACCCCAATACTTCCCATCCACATTCAGTTTTTACAAATACCGGTATTGTTAGACTCAAGCTTTCAAAAAATCACAGTGAGATTCACATTTCTCAAAAACTTCTGCACTTAATAACTGAGATTATTTTTAATTGTATCACATGGTGACAAGAGCATCTAGGTTTCTTGCTCTCAACTTGTTCTGCACAGCTGGGATTCAAAACTTCAGAACTGCCAAAAACAAAGCTCACAACAGACGATCTTCAAGTTTAAACTTAGTGAAATTATGACCAAGCAGAAGAGCTGGTAACACCAAACTAATCAAGCTTCAGTGACAAGGCCAGTTTAAACCAATACTTCAAACATCAGCTTCAGACTTTTCTTGTCTGAAAAAATGAAATTTTTAGTTCCATGCACAGCAACCTTATCTAACATAGCAGGAACAGAGCACAGGCCCATTAAATTAATTGTATTTATCTGAATAAACCTGCAGTTGACTTAGAAAAAATTCTGAAGTATGTAATAAGCCCTAGAATGCATTTTTCTAGTTTTAAACTTATATTACGCTATCTTCCTGCAGTGAACTCTCACAATACTTTAGCATGCTCTAGATTATAAGACACTGGAAAAACTACATAGACTTTTTGTGTATTCTTGTATTCTGAAGATACACACATATTTCTTCAAACTCAGTTACCATCAAAAATCAAATACACCTTACATATTAGTGATTATTCCATTAAAAACAAAAGATGCAATAGTAAAACTATAACCTTCCTTACCTTTGCAATAATGACTTCTTTTTTCAAAATCTTCATAGCATAGTATTTCCCACTAGCCTTCTCTCGGACCAGGATAACTTTGCCAAACGTGCCTTTGCCCAGTAGTTTTAAATAGTCAAAATCATTCATTGTCTATAAGGAGCAGAGAACAAGGATTAGCAGGACTTATGCTATCCAGTTCCAATATGCACATGAGTATGTCCACACGTAATCAAATGCTGTTACCAATTTAAATACAGTTTACGAAAACAGGTACATTTCTGTGATTAAGGTTATAATAGTTAACTGTACCCTTAAACCACTAGGTTATATTGTTTGATAGTATTAGTATCATTCTCTAAAGCCAAGTACTGCACAGTATACTACACACACAAACTTATTCTTACAAAGCACGCACAGGACAAAGTCTTAGCCTACACCAGCATTTCATGAATGTCCGACATCTAAGAAAACTCATCAACTCCTGTATTACAGCGAAGACACCAGAACGTGGTGTATTGGTAGGTTTTGTGTAACACCAACCAGTGCACTGATGGCTTTTCTGAAATGTTTCTGATCCTCACTGCGATATTGTACTAGTAAGACTCTACAACAGTCTTTGCACAAGAGGTAGACTTTTAAAAATTTGAGTACAGATTACAATTACATGGTTTTTACATTAATCTATCTGGCTCTGAAAAGGAAGAGGTTGGAAGTTTTCCTCTTTCATGTGACTCCATTATAGCGACTGTTCAAGCATCTAGTACCACCCTAGTTTAGCAGGTTAAACGTAGTGCATCCACAAGTTGCTTCCACCAACAGACAATTTGTGTTTACTTAGTAGGTTTATCAGCTCAGCTGGGAAGAATATGATCAGATGATCTCAGATCCCAAAGCTTAGCCACTTTCATGAGCACAAAGCTTGAGTCAGTAATCATCTTAGCTCTGCAAGTTCATTTCACAGCCAGCTCAGAAGAATCAACCCTATGGTCTATGCATTAAATGCAGACATGAGGATGTAGAAAAACCAGCACAATACTGAGAAAGCTGTGACTGCACAGGGTCACCTTGGATTAACAACAGTGCTTCTTTGGCCAACTCGGGACAAATCACTGGCTTCCACTGCGTGTCTCCACACCACATCTTTCTGCACGCTGTGTTACTGCCTTGGGGGCAGCACCCCAAAACCACACACGGACTGTTACGGCATCCAGGAACCTTGAGGAAAGCAGTTAAAGGCTCTGAAAGGCACCACGCTCACCCTTTGTTGTTAGAAAACTGTCCTGCAGTATCAATAATCTTCCTTTCTTAGTGAATGATACATCTCAAAACATTTATAAAAAGTAATTATACATTGACTCTTTGTTTTTCTAAGTTAAACACATTCAATCCTGTTATGTGTGAGGAAAAGAAAAGATCATGCCTTATCTTTCATCTTCCTAGTGTCTTTCTATCACTAATTGAAGTCTCAGGCAGTTTCCTTGAACACTGGTGTTCAGGAGAAACCTCTACTTGTGTCTCCTACAATGAGATTAGTACTTCTCCCTACCAGGAACACCTCTAACAGTGCCTATGCTTCTCACACACATTCCAAGTGTAGAGCTACTGGGCATGTCCCCAGGTTTGCAATCACAAATAAGTGGCAGTAAAATATAGTCTCTCCTGTGAGAAAGAATAAATGGCAAAAATTCCCACTGAAATTACTTATTTCTTCAAGCTCAAGTGCATGATACTATTACTGTGAATCTGAAGTTGCTGTCAACAAACTGCAAAAGTAATTTATGCAATAGCTCACTCAGAGTCAGTTTGAAAACTGCTCACATACTGGGTAGAATTGAATTTCCATCAACCACATTAATGCTGTAATTCCTTAGCTTTTAAGTGTTCAACACGCAACTTAAAAGTTGTTAAAGGTTTCCAACAGACTACTTAAAGTAACACCTGGATAGCTGAATATTTCAAAGCTTTATTGAAAAGAACATGCTTTCCATGTATCAATTTTCTAGCTATATC